CCCACATCTCATCCCAGAGCATAGAGATGTGTTTTATCATCTATTCTCTCAGATCAAGATTCTCACAACCAAGTGCCCAAAACTCTCCTTTTTCACTGAATTACTGAGAGCAGGTTGGTGGGAATATGTCTGTTGGCCACTATTGGAGGACTGTGGAGATAGTGACCTGATAAGGGTCAGACAGTACCAGCCCAATCAACCAAGAACTAACAGTCCACAAGCATCAAGGCCCTACGTGAGGGCCTGGGAACACTGAGACCAAAACAAAATGGCCATACTCTGGAGGAGTTTGCCGGGACATCTTCTGCTTGGCTCCAGGAGCTCATCCTATCCTCCCAGGAGGCTGGGCTTTTGGAGGAAGACCCTTTGGAATGCCTTCTTACTCTTGAATCCCTAAAGATGCTACTCCAGATTCTTCACTTTGGAAGGGACCTTTGAGATCACTTGGTCCAAATTCCATGAATTTGCAAATGGAAAAATGGAGGCCCAGAAAAAGGAGGGAAATGACAGCACCATGCATGTGAAAGGCCATCTAGTCATGCAATGCCTCCATTTTACAAATGAGGAAACTGAGGTCAAGAGGGGTTAGGTGACTTTCTCAAGGTGACACAGGGAATAAACATCAGAGGCAGGTCCTCCAATGCCAGAGCTTCAACTCATCACCTCTGTTTCTTTCTTTGTCCAAGAACACACAGCGCTTTTTGGAGGAGCTCAAGCCTCCAGGCTTTCTGATCACAAATGCATCATCTTTCCAACACACCAAGACAACTTTCACCTCTCTGGTCCTCAATTTACTCACATGTTCCTAGTGTATTGGTCTAATAGCTAGATCATTACTAAAGTCTCTTCCAATTCCAAAACTTATGATCCCAAATCAAAGATACTTGAAATGTGGATGATATGTGTCAAGGTCTAGTTCTCAAAGAAGGCAATTCCATTTCTAGGATTCTGTTTGACTTCTCAGGCAGAGAAGAAGAGTTGTCTAAAACCTAAGGGCACAGGAGCTGACTGCCTCCTTAGAGGGCTGGCTGAAGGAGGGAAAGGAGAAGGGAATGGAAGGAAAAGAAACAGGAGGGACTGAATATCATGTAGCCCAGTGCCTAGCAGAGGACTTGGCCCCGGGGAAGGGAGCTTAAAAGTCTGCTGAATGTACGTAGATGCACGGATGAATGCAGTGAACTGAGTTCAGATTGCCAGCCCATTAGCTGAGTGGGCTGGCATTTGCATTTCCTCAAGGAAGTGGGAAAGTCTGTGGCTGTCAGGGTCTTCTGCCTTTCTCCAGGTGGAATGCTGAGGCTGTCCAACAAGTGGTGTCCACAGTGCTGGTGCAGCAGGTAGCTCTCTTTAGGGCAGGATTTAGTCAAGTGCCACTCTCTTTTAGGAGAGGCCAGACACAGCTCACCTCCAGGCAGTTGGGGGTGGGGTGGGGAGGTGTTAAAAGGATTGATCTTTCCAAAGTCTAGGAAGTCTTAGGGACATTTTCCCTGGAGGACCTCAAGGTGAAGAAGGCATTTTGTTGGAGGGAGGTGGGGAGTCCAGAACCTTTGATGACTTTTACAGAATCCACCTGCCAGCATGGCCCCAGTCCTGAGCCCCAGGTAGTAAATGCCTCTCTCTGAGACCTGAGGCAGCTCAGGGTTAGTGTCCATGAGGTCACCAGTCATATAACCCTCTCTTCCCTCAAAGGACCCAGCTGCCTGCAGGGTGTTTGGAAGCTCTCTGCCCTCATCCCCAAACCTGCCCAAAGTTAGAGAGGCAGCCTGGTCCAGTGGGAAGAGTTCAATGCCTGGAGCTACAGTCCAGCTTCTGCAACTTAGTACCTGAGAGATTGTGGGCAAGTTCCTTACCCCACTCTGGGGATTAGTTTCCCCTCCTGTGAAATGAGAGTTTGCTTGGACTCCCTGGTCTCTAAAGTGCCTTCTAGTGGTGACCTTTCTCACACCGAAGAATAGGGCAGTGATTATGCTGAGAGAGAGGTCTCTCTTGGAACAACAGCAGCTGTTTCCTCTTGAGTTTTGTTGTTATCCCCTCTCCTTCCCCTTCCTCCCTTCTCTGCCCTCTGAGCTGAGCAGGTTTCATTTCTCTGGCCCTTTTCCTCTCAACCCACTCAAGCTAGCCCCTGAAATGAGTAGAATTTTGTGAATGAAATGTCCTCAACACTACCCAGCATTCCCATTTTACTGATGAAGAAACTGCAGCTCAGAGGGTAATCTGCCCACGGTCACACAACTAGTGTGTGCCAGGAAGAAGAAGAGAAGGTTGCATTCCTCTGTGACTTTAAGGAAGCCCCTGCCCCTCACTGGGCCCTAGATTTCCCCTTTGTAAAAGGAAAGGATCAGTCTCTGACTCTGGTATATGCAGAATGTTTTTTAAAATATAAACCCCAATAGAAAAACCCACTGACGTCAATATCCCTCTGACCACCGTTCTCCTTCACAGCGCCCAAACCTGAACCGGCTCAGTCAGGCCAAAAAGGAAGCCTATGGAGGCTCAGACTGAGGTCAGGAGGGGGTCTCAGGAATTCTTTTCAGTCTCTGTTGCATTGGAAATTCCTGGCCAGGTCCAAAGAGGTAGGTGGAGGGGCCATTGAGGAGTGAGGGACTTGCCCACACCCCTTTCTTCAAGCCTTAGCCTAGATTCCAGAGAAACAACTAATCATAGCCTCCTACTTGGAGGCAGAGATTTATCCTGGGCCCAAAGTGGCCAGCTGGAGTCTCCCTATGTGGTCAGGATTCCACAGGAGCATAAAGTGCCTTCAACTTCTTTTAAAACTGAGGATCCACTTCTAGGAGTCAAGAGAGGAGGCCAAGAGAGGAGATCTCACCTCGTGGGGTGGGTGGGGGTGGCCAGGGAAAGATCAGGCACCTCAGCACTCAAATCCCTTCCAGGCCTTCCTCCCAAACCATGTTTCCTCCAAAGGATCATATGTGAAGTACTTTGTAACCCTTAAAGCATCCTACACATGGTAGCAGCTAGTCATTGTCTATCTGAAGCTAGAGGGTCGAGGCTCACAGAGCCAGTATGAGGAATCATTGGGGCCACCTCATTTTTTTTTTCACAGGTGAGGTAAGGGTGGAAATAGAGGCTTGCCCCAAGGTCACACAGTGAGTAACTGAGTCAAGATTTGAACCCGGTTCTCCTAACACCAAATCCAGTTTGCTCCATTCCTCCTGCATTCCACAGTCGACAGAATTGTGTTTTTCATTGTTGTATTGGAAGGGCCCAGAGGCCCAGGGAATAGACAGGAAAATCTTTGCTTTAGTAATTGACTTTGGGCAGGAAGCTGGTAGCTTTGATCAAAATTCCTTTCCAAGGGGTGCTAGGATAGAAGGCAATTCCAAGACTAGCTGTATGACCCTCACTTAACCTGTCTAGGTCTCAGTTTCCCCATCAGCAAAAAGTGAGGCTCAAAAATGTGGAGAAGGTGTTCTTAACTTGGGGCAGGTGTCTGTGAACCTGGATGGGAAAAAAACCAGTCTTTATATTCACTACCTTCTAACCACAATTGATCATTTCCATCAATCATGAATGTAAGCAACAACCATGATTGTGAGAAGGGTTCCATAGGCTTCACCAGACTACTGCCAGGGGGTCCCATGAGACACAGAAGGTAAAACCTCATCCTCTGGAGAGCCAGGCTAGCTCAGATCCATCTCATTAGCTAAAGTTAATGTTAGGGAGCTTGGGTCGGGACTCACAATCTGGGCCCAAATGGTTCCCTGTGAGCCTGAAAAGGCTTACATCTAATGATTTGTCTCTGGTGTGTGGGTACGATGCCGTCATTCTTCTGTGAATAAATCCTAAAAATTAGCATGCTGTTGTGGCCAGGGATCTGTGGAGATGGGTGAGGGTGGAGGGGGAAAGGGAAGAGGGAAACGGATGCTTTTAGAATTGCTTCTCAATTCACATGCACACACAGGAGGTTTGGGGCTCTGCTCTGGACTTACCTGATTCGGTTGCAAACCCAAAACAGCCTAGGTTGCTCCAGGTTGCTAAAGAGAATGGACTAAGTTTATCCAAGGGAAGCTTGTGAAAGATGATTCTACAGCCCTCCCTCCTCCCCCATTCCTCTCGTGGCGGGGGGGGGGGGGAGGATGTGGAAGGGTTGGGGGGGATGAAGGAACCGGAGGATGAAGAAAAGCACAACAGTCTCATCCTAATTCCGAGGGGAGGGGAGGGAAGAGAAAGGAGAGGGGCAGGCAGAAGCCACAGACACAGAGAAAGACACAGAGACGAGTAGGGGTGGGGGTGAGCTGCAGGTGAACCAACTCAGCCTTGGCGGCCCCAAGACCACGCCTCCGTGGAGTAAACACCCTAGAAAAGGGGCCAGCTGGCCCGACTCAGCCACCTCCTCTGCCTCGAGTCGGGCTCGGTACCCAGAGTGAGCCGCCAGAGCCTTCCTGAGAGCTGAGGGGAAGGGGTCGCGCCCCTCCCCAGGCTTACTAGACCAAGCACCCACAGCTACGAATCAGACACAGCTCTCAGGTTGTTAGCCCACCATCTAGCCCCCTCGGGGCCCCAAGGAGACAGAAGGGATTCTTACACCCAAGGGCCAGCATTCCTCTTTTTCCCAATAAGATTCCGAGGATTGTTTTTTATTTAAGCTCCAACATGTAAGACCCTGGCTTCCTCAAGTAGAGAGAGACGGCAAGAGTCAGAGGCACAAAAACAGAGAGATAGTCACAGAGGTATAGAAGGAGCGAGAAGAAAAAAAAGAGGAAGAGAGAGAATGGGAGAGGAAGGGGAAAGATGGAGACAGGAAAAACGGGAGAAAGGTGAAGAAGAGAGAGGGAGGGGAGAAGGAAAGGCAATGACAGGGAGAAGAGGAAAAAGGTGAAAAGGGAAAGAAGGAAACAGGCCATCCACTGGCCCTTTCTGATTCTCTAGGGCATGGACAGACTAGTAATTTGGAAGAAAACAACTTCGTCTCACGGAGAAAAAACAAACGCTCGGCATTGCCCGAGTCTGGAAATGAAAGCTTTGCTCCTGCAGCCTCGGCAGCCTGTAAAATAACCATTTATTTTAATATATCTTAAACATCAATAACAGCCCAGACTCCAGTGATAAATGTCCTTTTTCCCAATCATCAACCTAAAGTGCCGACAGCCCCACAGCCGCCGCTCTCCTCTGGCCTTATAGAAACCAAGAAAACGTGACCTCTCTCTCACACTTCTTTTTACACTGTTAGGAAAATTAACAAATAATACTAATACACATTAACAAGCCTGTTGGTGTTTTCCATGAAAGAGCTCTGTCCTGGTGCCAACCCAGGCACGCCTGGCCACCTCCCGACGGTCCCGGGCAGAAGGGGGTGGGGCCGGCTTGGTTTACTTTCACCGGTCCCTCCATCTTTTAGAGGCTCCATACGCGGGCTCCCCCAGGCCACGTCCATGGATTCCTGGACCAGGACCCCAGTATTCCCAGGACGAGAGCTGAGGGAGTTCCCAGCTGGGCGAGCGGGGAGGTGGAGAAGGGAGGTCCAGTCCACTGCAGGACCCACAGGGCAGCCCTCCAAATCTGATGGGTTTTGTTGGAGGTTGTGGAGCTGGTTGGGGTGTTCCAATGCAAGCCTGCTGTGTAGCTTCCCCTTGGGTCCTGGGGCCGCTTGAGTTTGGAAGGGGGCGCTCTGGAGCAGCTCACGGCACCCTCTCCTCTCTCCCTAACCTCGCTTCTTTCTCCAGCCGCTCTCTGTGGACCACTTCTAGGTACACTCGGGCAAGGAAAAGAGAAATTTGCCCAAAAAGGAAACTTACAGAGAAAGTTTGTAACGTAATATAATGCCGCAACAATGTAACGCTGCAAGCATGTAACAGCAACTACGTAACGCAGCAACAACGGAACTCTGGAAAAATGGACAGTAACACTGGGGGGAGGAGCCAGAGGCTTCGGCGGTGGCTGCAGCGAAGCCCTTTCCCGCTTGAGCCTGGCGGCCGACCCTTGAGCTCCACCTCTTGGAGCAAAGTTTCTGAGTCCAGGCCGGGAGTGGACTGGCCGCCGCCCCTACATCCACAGGCCTGCGGCCAGGCCGGTCCGGTCGGTGCTGCGAGCACCCCTTGGAGCCCCCTGGAGCGTGGGCGTGAGTGTCAGAGGGAGGCAGAGCCTGGCCCTTCGCTCCCGGCCAGCTAGTGGCTGGCACAGCCTTTCTTTGCTCCAGGCTAAGGGGTCTCGGGCTTTTGCCTGGGACCAGGGGCGGAGGCTACTTCCTCCGAGTTCTGCCGATGGGCCCTGGTGGGCGCGGGCCTTCAGCATTTGATTTTGTTGACTTTGAGATCCTTCACTTGCGTGTGCAGCGTCTTGTGGACGGCTAGAGTCCTGGACTGGCAAAATCCCTTCCCGCACTCCTGGCACTTGAAGGGCTTCTCTTTGGAGTGTATATACCTGCGCGGGAAAGAAAAGACGCCATTTCTAAACCTTGGCAAAACCCGAAGGGTCTTTAACTGTGTAAGCTTCTTTCATGGGCTCCCGCACCTGCTTCCCGTCTCCCAACCCTTATAAAAACCACAAAAGGCTAGCAGAATCCCGTGTCGGGGGCTAGAGGGGACTCTCTGGGGTAGAGGCCAAACAAGCTAGGAGAGTTACGAAAAACCTGGAAACCCCGGCCAGGGAGACCTGATGTCCTATATCCGGAGGCAGGGATATAGCGTTCATTAACAAAATCTGGAAGGGATGTGGTTAACAACAGGTTCCCGGAGTGGGGACTAATAATTGTAATAAACTCAATGGACATTGGCTGAAGAGGCTGGAGCTTCCGGGCCCGACGTCTGGAGATGCTGAGAGGTTCAGCTCTGCGGAATGCGCCTCAGGGCGTCGCTTAAGTCAGATAGCTAGAGGACAGGTTAGGAGGGAGCAAAGGAGAGGTTCTATCCTCCTTTTGGGGCTAAAAGTGTAACCCCTGGAGGGCAGGAGCCCTCCCCCTTTCGGCTTGAAGTTCTCTGAGCTCCTCTATTCTTATGTTCAGGGTGCTCGACAGCAGAGAAGCCTGAGCTCAGGGAGGAGATGACCTGTCCCCAAAGATTAATCTTTATCCAGTGGCAGCGACGGGAGTCAAAGCCAGGACTCTCGACTCTAGATCATGCCATTGTCCCCAAACCTTGGCCCCCAGCACGCCAGTTCTGTAGCCCTCCTGGGGTCCCCACTAGTCGGTTAGTGGGTCATTTGGGAAAGCGAGGGTGTGCCTTAAACCTTGATTCCGGAGCCGGGGGCCAGGCTTTCCCTTCTGGTCTCCCCCTCACCCCTGCTCGCCCTCTCACCTGTGGTCGCGGAGGTGGTCTTGTCTCCTGAAGGCCTTATGGCAAATGTCGCAAGTGTAGGGCCTCTCGTCCGTGTGCGTTCGCTCGTGAATCAGCAGGTTATAGGACTTGGTGAAGTGACGACCGCAAAATTTGCAGACAAACTCCTTCTTGGTCTTGGAGGGCAGGCGGCCGCGGGTGGGCTTCTTCTCTGGCGACAGCTTGCTCACGTCGAGAAGGGCGCTGAGCCCGGGTGGAGGAGAGCCAGGGCCCTCGGCGTGGCCGAGCTTGGACGGGTCCTCCTGGGTGGCGGCCAAGGCCAGGTTGGCGAAGTCGAAGCGCGGCTTGGCCTTGAGCGGTGGCCCGCCAGCCCCCCCGTCCTGAGGCTTGGGCTGGATAACGTGCGGGAACCAGGGGAAGGCGGGCAATGGCAGGCGGGCGTCCACGAGGCTGGACACGGCGCCGGGCACCTTGGAGAAAGAGGAGCGCGGCAGGTGTACGGCAGGGTAGCCCAGGGTCCACTGGTGCAGGTGCACAGCGTGCAGGGCACTAAAGCCGTACAGACTAGGCAGGTGATCCGAGGGCACAGCTGGCAGCCCGTTCACAGCCTGCAGGAACGAGTAGTTGGTGAGCTGAAGCGACGGGTGGATGGGCACGGGAGCCGGCAGGGTCTTGCTGCCCATGGCGGTAGCGACACGATTGCCAGCCTGAGGGGGGAAAGAGAAAGGGACGGGAATAAGGGAGGGGGGGGAGAAATTCAGTGCTGGGCCTCTCCTTAGGGTTATCTACACCTTGTTCCCTCGCTATCACCACCCCGAACTGTTAGAACAAAGGAGAAGCGAAGAACCCCATTGGAAATGATCAGGCAGAGCAAAGATCCCCATCCACCTGGCAATGACCAGCAGTGCCCAAAGCGAGCTCCAAGACCGGCGATGCCAGGTTTGCATTGTCTCTGGGATTTTAGACGGAAACTAGCGACTTTAGAGATCTCGGGACTCCAAATACTTCATTTTACAGAAGAGGAAATTGAGAGAGGAGAGAGAGAGAGAGAGAGAGAGAGAGAGAGAGAGAGAGAGAGAGAGAGAGACAGACAGACAGACAGACAGACAGAAAGACAGACAGACAGACAGACAGACAGACAGACAGACAAACTGACTCAGGTAGTGAATCCCACAGCTGATGTTCGAACTCCAAATCTTCCGTTTTCCAAACTTTCGGGCCCCTTGACTTAGGACCCTGGGTCTCGGTCAGGGAGGGGAAATTCTAGGTGAACCACCCCTAAGCAAACCCTACCGCTTCGTGAGGAAGCCAGGGGACAGAAGGTCACCTCTTCTCCTTGTCAGAGCACCCCGCGCCTTAGCTGTCAGAACAATTACTCTGACTTGCCCGGGGTCCGCTTCCTTCCTCTGTTTCTGGATCAAGAGCCTTGGAGCGGATCTGGGGAGGGGGTTTGTAGCGAGGGCCACTGGAGCGCACGCGCGCACACACACCACACAAACAGCAATAAACTTTCACACTCAGAGAAGAGCAAACAAGAAACACATTGGCACTGGAAGGTAAACACAGACATACAAGGTTTCACATACAGAGAAACAAATACACCGAGAGATCCAAACAGACACACCTTCACGCCGAGATAAACCCACAGCAATAAACACTTATCCTCCGAGAAACACAAACACAGAGCCTCAACTCGGGCCGCCCTGGGGATAAACACAAACATACACTAACACAAGGAGACACAAACCCAAGAGCCGCTTGCATTTAGGGATAAACAAACACCCTGACGCTGGGAGTAACGCGAGCGAAGAGGGAAGAACCTCGCGCGCAGCGGGGGCGGCGGCGGCTAGGGGCGGGGGCGGCTATGGAAAAGCTGGTGAACAGACAAGCGGGGAGAACAGGAATCAGTGCTCGTAGGGACGGCGGGAGCAAACTGAACTGTGTACTCGTCCGTTTAACCCAGAGACAAACCCCAAAGAATAAAAAGCACAGGCAAAGAAAGTGACCCAGAGGCGTTGGCGTTAAGAGTTCAGCACAAATAGATACACTGTCACATTCTAACTCAGCAAACAAACGCAGAATCCTCACTCCTAACGGCTCAGAAAAACAACATACTCCGTCGTCTTCCCCCCTCCAGCCCCCCTACACAAGGCCCTCGGAGGGCTCGAGCCACACAGGACAAGAGAACCGCAGCTAGCCAAGGTAGGACCCTTAGAAAACATTCGAAACCAATCCTTTCGTTTTACACGTGGGGAAACTCAGGCCCAGAGAAGCAACGAGACTAGCCCAAAGTCACACAGCTAGTGGGTAACAAAGACGGGATTGGATCCCAATCCTCTGACTCCAAGTCTAAAGGTTATTTGTCTTTTGACCAAATCCATCTCCTCAGGCCTCATTCTTGTTTTTCCTAGCAGGGAACACCGAGCCAACATCGCTAGTTTCCTATCCCTCCCTCACACTCCTTCCTACCCTCTCAGTTTTAGGGCAGCCAAGCAGGCCCTCCCTCTTTCCCTCTGAACAAGCAAACACCTTGGCTACACTCACTCCCTGGCAGCCGGGAGGGAGGAGGAGGGAAACCTGGAGCACCCCCCCCTTCACCTAGCCTCTCAGAATCCTTCAGTGTCCACCCTCCCATAGATTCTGGCCCCAGGCCTGTGCACCAAAGGGGGCTTTTTGGATGGGGGGGGGAGACTGGACTGATTGGAGGTTACCCACTGCTAGGAAAGAAAATGGCAGAGGACATCCCTCTTGGGACCAAACTACCTGAGGGAAATTGGGGGAAGTTTCCACAGACCAGTCAGTGGGTCTGCCACCTAGGCACCCCAGGACCAGCCTTCTAGGTCCTAGAATTCCTAGCTGGGAGAACCTTGTACCTAGGAGGTCCTTAATGGTTTTGGAAGATAAATCAGAAGGTAGAATGTAAGCTCTGAACTGGACCTTAGCTATTCCAAGCTCACATACAGATGGTGAAACTGAAGCCAGGAGAGGGCAAGTGACTTGGGCAGGTCATAAAGCAAATAAAGGCCAGAGCATCTGAACAGGTCCCCCACCCTTCCAAGCCACACTCACACCCCAAACACAAACTGCATTTCCTTTCTTCAAGATCCTACAGTCGGATTCCAAGAAAACCCCAGACACCGGCTGTCCCCCAAGCACCTTCCCCAGCTGTAGTTGCCAGTCTGGTATTGGGGTGAGGAGGCTAATCCCACTTACTCCACCACTTGCAGATCTGAGAAGGCAGGATGGCGATTACAAAAGAGGCTTGCACTACCTTCTCCACCAGCCTGGGACTGGGAGGGGGTGGGGAAGGAGGGGAAGAACGACAACTTCGTAAATTTAAAAGAACTTTAAACAGGTGATCCATGATTATTCAAATGGAAATTGTACTCGTGGAGGAAATCTACCCGAAGCCTGGATCTCCCAGACACCTCCTTTCACACCCACACACCTAGGCCGGGCTGTGAAGAGCCCCATAATTCTTTGCCAGGAGAGGGGTGAGGAGGTGGTCCTTCCCCTGTAGCAGATGCCTGGACCCCAGAGAAAAGCGGAGGGGACCGGAGAGGAGACGCTGCCTGAGGATCCCTGAACCCTGGGGGGCCCAGCGCTCCCGCGGTCCGATCGCCCCAGAGTTAACTGCAGGCCTCGCCGCTATTCTGCTTGGGCGGCCCCACCCCTTGGTCGGTCTCGGGGCTGCCGGTTCAACTTTGAAATTTCGGGAGGCAGCAGTCTGATAGAAAATTTCCTTCAGAAAGCTTTGGGGAACTGGCCACACCTGAGAAGGATAAACGTTTTAAGTGTAGTTAATTCTCATATTTTACAAAGCTCTTCCTGCTAGTGCCTTCCGCTTTCATCCTTGTGGGAAAGGCAAGGACTGTTACCTGTATGTGGCAAATGGGAAAAGGGAGTTTCAAAAAAGAGGAAGTGACTCCGGGGCATCTCAAAAGGACCTCCAAGATCATTAAATCTAGCCCCCTCAATTAATCCACAGGCATGTATTAAGCTGCTACTGGGCAGCCAGGCACTATGCCACTGTGACGCCGAGGAGGAAACCGAGGCCCAGAGAGGAGGAAGACCTTGGCCAACGCTGCACAGAGTTAATTGATATTGGAACGGGCACTCCACGCCAGGTCTCCTGTCTCCAATGCCCGAGCTCCTTCCTGGTGACCCGATTTCTGGTTATAAAGGTCCCAGCCCCTTGGTGATGGCGAGAACTCAGGGGTCCTCTGAGGTCAGGTAGGGAACTAAGCCAGTCCCTTTAGAACCGCGCTGGATGAATCGGAGCCGCTGAGCACCGAATTTAAAAAAAAAAAAGGAAGAAGTCCTCGTGTAGGCAACCCAGGGAAAGAAGGGAGGAGAGGAGAGGAGAGAGGACAGGGGACCTGGAGTCATTTCTGAGCCTCTGGGAAGCGTGTATCTTCCCTCTGGCAATCAGCGATTTTGCTGCGTGGCAAGGAGAGGTCAGCCGGGAAGCCTGAGGGGCAAGCAGAGGCACACCCCCCACCTGGCATCGAGCCAGCCGGGGGTAACTATGCCCCAGTCTGAAAGAGAGGGGACTGCTGAGAGGAGCGCTCGCGGAGCCCGCAGTGCAGAAACTAAGCTGTAGCAAACAAAATATCTTGGAAGTTTACTGAGCGTCGGGCAAAAAGGTAGCCTGGAGTCTGGGCATTCTTCTTCTCCTCTCTGGGCCTCAGTTTCCCCTTCTGGATGAGGAACAGGGCCTCTCTGTTCCCCTGTCTATGTTCCTAGGAAAACAATCACTTTAGATTCGGGACAGCAGTCAATCAGGGTACGGGTGGGGCAGGACAGACCCATGGGAGAGAAATTCCGAAATCTGAAAGACGAAAGAGAAATTTCGACTCTTGGCACTATGCTGTTTCACCTAAAAAGTGGCCTAGGACCGGAGAAGGAAGAAGCATCGCTCAGACCACATCAAAGACCCTCTCGGTTTTCCCAACCCCCGCTCAGAAGATCCTTCCTCTTTGATTTGGGGCTTACCTCTACGTTAACTACCGGTCGGGGTAAACAGATCCTTATCTCTGTCTCCAGCCTAGCACAGCCACTGAGCTCTCCCCACTCCTCTTCCGTCCTAGCCGTTTGTCAAGGGTGCCTGAACGAATGACCCTGGAAAGCAGTGGCATCCGGCCACGGGGGCTGCAGCGAAGCCCCCGCCCACTGCGGCCCTCCGTCGCTGCCCAAGCCTGTGCCCTTGCCCCACAAGCTCCGTCCGACCTCGGAGACTAAGGGTAGCCAAGCTGACCTGAGCCCCAGGCTGTCTAGCCCAACCCCTGCTCTTGGCCCCAGGCTTTCTGCCAGTGCTCTTGGGGTTTCCTCGAGGGCTTGTCCTTTCAGGTGCTGTGGAGATATCCCAAGGGCATTGATAGCGCCTCGAAGTAGATTAAGGACGGAATTTGTGGGGCCGAGACCCAGGTAAGATTTCCAGCTCTCTCTCTGTCTCTCTGTCTCTCTCTCTCTGTTTTTCTGTCTCTCTCTCTCTCTGCCTTTCTCTGTCTCTCTCTGTCTCTCTTCCTCCTCCTATAGATCTTTACTCAACGGTCCTGGCCTAATAGCCGCGGGAACTTTTAAATCTTCAGTCCTCTGAAACCCGAACACTGTGTCGTCTGGTCTTTGTAACCCTTACTCTAGCGCCGGCCTCGCCTGGAGCTGGTCTCAAAAGCGAGGCTGATTGAAATTAAGTGAATGGGCCAGCCCTTGTGGGGCCCCGGGCTAGTTCGGGTTGAAGCGCTTTGTAGCTGTTAAAGCGCCACAAATGTCAGCTTAGGGGAAGCCTCGGCTGCGCCTCTGGAGCCTTACACTTTCCCGGTAGCCTTCAGCGGTGGAGTCTCCTGCCGGAGACTCAGCGCAAGGCGGGAGGAGGCCAGATTGGGAGGCCAAGAAGGGATGGCAGGAGAGTGGTTGTTGGGAAGGAAGGCCGGAAGGTCCCGGGTTCGAATACTGACTCTGGGCAAGTCGTTTCCTCTCTCTCTCTGCCTCACTTTCCTTATCTGAACAAAGGAGGGATCAGCCTTCTCACCCCCCATTTTACACAATGTAAGACCCGCTCTCCATCCCGGGCCAGTCTCGAGGAAAGTGCGTTGTGAAGTTTAAACTAGTGGTACAAGAACTCCAGAAACGGTTGTTCACATTCTTAATATCCCGATCCCTCCACGACCTTCCCAGCCTTCAAAGACCAGGTGCCAGGAGCTCTCCCTGGGCTCTGAGCGACTTTAGGAAACCGCGTGGACTTTCACGGAGAGCGGACACGAAGGGAGAGATCACTCCAGGCTTCACAGTAAACCCCCTGAGCGGGATGGGGATGTAACACAGCTACCAGCGCCATCCCGCCGGGTCTTTCCCAACAAGAGTCAGACCCTGCCCTGGCTCCGGGGGTAACTTAGAATGAAGCCCTTCGGCCACCCGCTGCAGTTCCTTTCAGGGTCCGCACCCCGGGGGGCGGGGAGAAATCTCTGTATTCTTGGCTCCGCGCTGGTGGGCCTGCTTCTATTTTAATTACACCATCTCCTAAGCAGGGAGTGCAGAAAATTGGCCCCATTTTACGGCGGCCTTTGGGAAACCCCAGACAACGGAATTGAGGCGAAGAGAGAAGTCTTTGCCCTGTGGCTTTGTGCAGGCACTCCTAAGTGTCCGTGGACGCCCAGGGGTGACTGCATGCGAGTGCAGAAGCCCGTGGGCGCCCAAGGCGGGCCCTGCAGCTCCCGCACCGACAGGCCCTAGCCGCCCCAGTAGCCATGGGAGCAGGGATATTAATGGATTGTGTAGAATCTATTAGAAGCTTATTCGCCTCTAACGGACCGTGGAAGACTTAATTGTTTGTATAAATGAGCACTGGCCTAGGACCTGGGCCGGCTCCAGGCAAGGCCGCCGGTCCCCTCCTGCAGCGAACGACTGCCTGGCTGGCCAAGGCGGGACGGGGCTGGCGAAGCTGCTCTTAGCCAACTCGCCCCCAAATCCTAGAAAGGAAGAGAAGATGAAACCTGCCGCGGCCTCTGGATGTCAGCTAGCTGGGCTGCGGGTCACCATACGCCGTAGCCGCAGGGTTAGCGTTCCCGGATGGACCCAAGAGGTAGGGGCCCCGCACCCTGCCCGACCGGCTCCCTCCCTCCTTCTTTCTGTTAGTTCCCCAGGGGAGATTGAGGCCAAGACAGCCAGTTCTTCCGGGCAGGCCGCTGGAACTCCCCTACCCAGGGCCACAGCGAAGGGCTCCGGGGCTCCCGAGTCCGTTTGCTGCGGCTCTCGGAGCTGGACTCGCTCGCTTCCCCCAAGCCCGGCGTTCCGCTCCCTAGTCTTCTAGTGCTGTAAACCGTATTCTTCCTCGCACTAAACGTGGAACACTCTGACTTAATGGGGTCTAATGAAAAACAGGAGTAGGACGTGGGGGATCCCCCTGCCCACTTCTCTCTTCTCCAGGGCTTTGGTTCTGGCTGCCGCTCCCCAGCTAGTGCCCAGAACCGGGTCCAGTGAGCGCTGAAGAGGGCCAAGAGTGCTTAGTTCTTGGCTCCGCTGGGCCACTAGTCTCTGGCACAGGCAGAGGCGGCCCGGGCTGTCGGCTCTGTTCAGACACCTTCCAGGGACTCAGAGGGCCCAGCTGGAAGCAAGGGACTAGAGTGAAACCAAGGGCTGATGGGGTGAACCCGTCAGAGGAGGGGAAAAAAAGGAAGGGTGGGTGATGTGTCTCAGCGTCCGGGGGAGGAAGTAAATGAGGCTGCACTACAAACCCCGAGTTTGGAGCTCGAGACCCGGCTCTTGGATCTAGTGCTGCTAGATGTGAGACTTCGACTCAGTCAGTCCTCTCTTCCCTAGTCTCCGGGTCTGTTTCTATCCCTGTCCAATTAGGGATTGCATTAAAAAAAAAAGTCTCTCAGGACCCTTCCCACTCTAGGTCCTATGGTCTTAGAACCAGACTCCTATTGCGCTGTCGGCTGCCTGGGCATGCACCTGTCCCGGTGTAGCCGAAACCCAGAGTCTCAACCGCTCCTGCCTTCAGTGCCCTAGCTCCGGGCCCACTGCTCTCTAGGGGAGCACAGCCTTCAGAAAGTGTGTGTCGCAGAAACTTTGAGGCCGCTTGGTTTTTAAATGGGGAATCACTTCTCCAAAGTTGGGGTTAATCTGAAAATTCCGTCCCTTTTTGCGGGAAGTCTTGGCACGAGAGTCAGAAGCAGGGGGAGGCAGCAACTTGGGGGGGTGCAGTAGAATAGAGCCCCAGAAAACAGCTCTATCTACCTGGCTCTAGCTCAGGATACTCTCTGGCGCAGACCCTCCCGGTCGGGGGAATGGTCAACCCGGCATTGTTTTGTGAAGTGAGACCCCTTCAATTCGGCCAGACCTAAGCACTAGGGTTTGGGAAGTGAGGAGAAGCTGTGTTTAGCAGCCTGGCGGGATGAGGATTCTGTGTGTGTGTGTGTGGTGTGTGTGTGTGTGTGTGTGTGTGTGCTCGCGCGCGCGCGCGGGCTTGTGTATTGGGGGGTATCAAAGAAACCCCGGGGCAGAGACCTACAGGAGTGCCATACCCAGACCCCCCTTCCCCCATACACACTTCTGACCCGCTGATGCCCAGTACACAGCGAGGCTGTGGCAGCTGAGAGGGTTAGCCCCGTCCCACGCACACGCGCGCACAGGCAGGCTGGCACTTACCCTCTAGGAGCCTCGGTCCCCCGACGTTCGTCTCTCTGCCTGTCCCTCCTTGGCAGGCAGCAGCCCTGGGCACAGAGGGCGCCGGCGTTGGGCTCTGCCGAGGCGAAGAGCCTCTGGCCGCGCGGGTCCTATATGCACTCTTGCAGCCGTCTCCAGCTCAGAGCGATCCTAAGACGGCTCTGGGCTAGGGATTGCTCAGGGATCCCTCCAGCCGAGGAGCCCGCGAGCCTCTCGGTATCTAAAAGTGATCCTTCCCGGAGCACCTGGGAATGTGGCCGGGAGAGTGGAGTTCAGACTGCACTGGTCCTTTCACTGAGAGCCGCCTCCTTATTTTAATCCACACTCCCCCCCGCCCCCTGCCCTCCGCCTCCCAGCTCTCCCCTCCCCTCCTCTCTTCTCAGCTTCCCTGCCGGGTCCCAAAACCCTTCCCCGCGCCTGCGCACTGGGAAGGAAAGTTTCTGTGCCCAAGCACTCCCGGGGATAGGAAAAGAAGGAACGCAGAGTGGGGAGGCCTTCGGGACTGCAGCCAGACCAGGCTCCTATCCTCCTTCTCCTCCCTCCATTCCCTCAGCCGGACCCTAAGCTCCCTGAGCTGGGTGGCTTGAGACACAACAGGGCCCCAACTGAGGAGTATGCCCGAGGGTGCACCAGGGCCAAATGGCAGCTAGGATACCCTCCTGGGCACGCTTGGAGTGGACCCGGACCCTCCTCTTAGAGAACCAGGGTCCTATGGGAGGTTGTGTGTCCCCAAGTGTGTCCCGCCCGGAATCTCGAGTGGCTGCTGAGTGGCCGGTGTCTCTGGGGCAGCGGCTGGCTCGGGAGGGGAGGCCTCAAGCCTATCACTCCTGGCTTGCTCTCCGCCGGGCTCACGCCACTCTCGGCCTTCCCCGGAGCTGCGGAGGACCCACTTGGGGCATTCTCAGTAGGGATAGGCTAAAGGGGAAGTCGGTCCCACGCAGCAGCCGTAGCCACACAGAGTGAAAGGGCGCCTTAGCCCCTTTGGCGCCCCAGGAGTTTCCAGAGAGCTAGAAAGCTCAGTCCCGGCTGGGATAACCAGGAGGCAGCAGGCGTCCAAGGGCAGGGCGGCCCCTACTGGGAGCGCGGACCGGGTGGGGTGCAGACTCAGAATGCACCTCAGCGGTCCCGTGAGGGAATCAGTGCTCTAGCACCAGCTAAGGCTTAGGTGCTGGTGCGTTCCCTTCATCAGGTCTGCTTGGAGATGGTGCAAGGGCCGGGGAAGGCTGATCGGCAAGTTGATGGCAGCGCTAGGCTGCCTCTGCCCGGCCCTATCACCACCTCGACACCCAGCCCTTGGCTATTGTACCATGCTGGTCAGAAAGGCTTGAGAGGCGATAAGGAGAGGGCTGTGCCGAGCAGAGTCCACCTGGACTTTGGGGCCACCAAGGAAGGTGTGCCTGCTTTGAGGTTGGGTGGGCTTTGTTTGGGTGATGATTGGGGTCTGGGAAGAGGATACTCCTCAAAGCTCATTAGAGCCATCCGAGGGTCCTTTCCCGATTCTGCTGCGCAAAGAGTCCAGGAAGGATTATGTTTGTGTGTGTGTGTGTGTGTTATGTGAGGGTTTTACGTGTGTGCATGCGTGCATGTATATGTGAATATGCGTGCATGCGTTTATCATTTCCTTTTCTGTGTTTTTCTATTCTGTCTTTCCCTGCCTCTCTGTCTCAGTCACTCTGTCTGAGTGCCTGCCTCTGTCTCACTGTCTCTCTTGTTCTCTCTCCATCTGTCTGTCTCTTTCTGGCTGTCTTTCTGCACTCTCTGTCTCTCTTTCTCGGTCTGTCTTTCCGCTGTCTCTGTCTTTCTTGTCTATTTCTCCACTTCTATTCCTCCTGCTGTCTCTCCATCGTCTCCCCCTTTGCTTTGCTCTGCCCTCTCCCCAGTCCTGTGCTCACCTTCACATAAGGCTTAAAATCCTGCCCCAGCCCTAGCCCCTTCCCCAGGGCCTAACGGCGGAAAATCCGATCTCAGGTCCCTAGCCTCCTGGCCTAGGAACCAGAGGCCAGATAAGGCTCTTCACTCCAAGGCCTGTTTTAACAAATTTCTTCGTGGGCTGCAGTCATTCCCCCAGCCTCTGCGTAGTCTTTCTGTCTGCCTGCAGAGGGCACCTGACGGATGGAGGAGGCGCGACAGGTCCCGGGGCGATGGGGCGGCAGAGACCGCAGGGTATTTAAGGTGTGTCCCCTCTTCCCCCCCACCCCCACCCCACTCCAAAGCTCCTTGGACACCCGCTGCAGTGGCCGGTGTGGCTCGAGCTCGGGCTCGGGCTGCTGCGTGGCCATGGTATTCCCAGTGTCAGGCATTGAATGATTTTGGAGTGGAGCCTGGAAGGGCCGGGGACCTCTCCCCTCACCACCCACACCCAGTCCCCAGACAAGCACTTCTCTGCAGGCGGCGGAGCCCCTCCGGCTTTGCCTCTAAGCCGAACTCTTTAGGGTGAGCTGGGGCTGGGGCGGTGGGGGGGGGCGGAGATTGAGGACGGAATCAGAGCAAAAACAAGAGGCCTGGGAGCTCCCGTGCGGCCTAGGCTAATGGGTGCGGGACAACAACAACCTTAGAGCCAGTGTGCTCTTGCTCATTCAGCTTCTGTGCTGCCTGCCTGTGCCCAGAGGCAGAGCCCCAGCCGCCTGGGCCCACCTGAACCCAGAACCACTGCGGGTGAGTTCCCATTCCCGGGCCCAGAGCCTTTGGGACTACAGCTCCAGAAGGTTGGGAGGCCGCTAGAGAAAACTCCTTGAAGGCCTGCCTCAGGCTCCTCTGCATCCGGGCCCTGTTAAGCTGCGGGCAGCATGGGATCTGCAGACAGCCCGGGTCCGAGTGGGAAAGTTGGGGTAGATCTTCGGAGAATAAGGCGGATGCCAAACCTGGGCTGAGGGCAGAAGCCAGAAACTGCTTCCTAACCCTTATCCTTCCCTCCCCTCTCCACCTCTATTTGGGTGAAAGGAAAACCGAGTGCGAACCGGGCACCTCAGGGTCACCAGGTCTCTTCTCCTCCAACCCCTGCACCTCCCTAGGTCGCCCCTTTGGGGTCCGAGCCGTGCTTACACTTCCTATACTGTCTCCCCTCTTGCCCCAGGTGTCTCTCTCAAACTCATCCTTTCCCGGCCTTGCCGAAGCTCTTGGAGCAGCCATCCTGCCCTCCGGAGTGAGCAGCTTTCACTCGGGTACTGACCAGGAGGGGGAATTCCTTCTGATCTCGAACCTCCTGCTTCCGCACGTTCTCCCAGGAGGTTCCCTTTACCCTACTCCCGGTCTTTGCCCCAGCCTTTGAACTGGAGCTGGTGTTTGCAATTTAAACTCTCGACTAGTTCCGGTCCCAGAGCTGTAGGTGCCCCCTACGACTCCCCACTTGCCGCAAAAAGAGGGCCTAAAGGGACTTTGGGAACTCAGGGCACTGGCGTGAAGAGGGGCGGGCGTCCTGAGGTCTGCGTCGGGTGCTCTGGGTCTAGGACCCTCGGAAAACTCCTCTGGAGGCTATGTTTAACAACATGGGCTTCCAGGACCAGGTAGTTGCGGATTGGTGGCTCGGAAGCTTGGGGTATTGGGGAGCTGGGCGCACAGAGGGTACTGCCAGCCCCAGCTCTTGGAGCTCTGCTTTCCGCAAAGGGTCAGAGGACCTAGCAGCAGCTTGACCCAGGAGCTAACAGCGCCGGACGTTGGGTGGGGTGGGATCTCGGGGCACAGAACTCACATCTTTGGGCCTGTTTCCCAGGCTTCCCCTCAGCTGCTCCCCAGCGCCGATCATCCTCTGTCCAGAGCCGCAAAGCCACCTCTGCGATTCACTCAATGAGAACGGAAGCCAAACGAAAACTAGCATCCTCAAAGGGCTGGCCCCGGCCTGTCACCGCCAGCTTTGAGGCAGCAGTTCCCCCTGTCCGGGTGGGGTGGGAAATCCTGAGGAGTGAGCCCTGGGCCGTGCTCTCCCCAGCAACGGCAGCAGCCCCTAGAGACCGGGCGCATCAGTCTGATCCTCCAGGCGCTAAGACGCTGCGGCGAAATCCTGAGAGCCCCCCGCTGTGCTCCATTCGTCCTTGGAAAGAACCTGACAGCCCTATCCAGGCCAAAGCCATTTCACAATGAGATTCCGGGGCGGGGATGGGGGAGAGTCGCCCTTTTCCCTCTTGGGACTCCACCTCCTAGTGGCAGGCACTAGGATGCCCTTCTCATCCTAGTATCAATAAGGTCCTATTAAAACTGTGTGTAGTTTGGAAGGCCTTGGAGACCTCAGTTTTGTTCTCTGTAACATGGGAGGGTTGGACTAACTGTTCTCTGTGGTCTAGTTTGTGCTGGTTGTGAGTTCAGGAGCTTTGAGTCGGAACTATGGCGGCTTCCCCGCTGTGTGGCCCAGGGGTCTCGTCAACGCCCGGGTTCTCCAACTAAACTCAACGGACCCAGCAAGGCACGAAGAGTACAGGGGCGAGGAACCTGCGGCCTCGAGGCCATGGGCCCTCAGGTTCCCCACCCCTGGTAGAAGTAAAGAGATTCAGGAAAGGGCCGCCCGGTAGTTTGAGGAGATTGTTGGTATTATTCTTGACTAAATTTGGTTAGGAAGTCCGCAAGAAGGGGAATGAGAAAGGGGAGAAGTCTCTCTCGCGTTTGCAGCATCTGGTTCCCAAACTGCAGCCAGAGGCGTGCCTGCGGCCCTGAGATTTCGTCCTATTCTAGAGGTACTTGGAGCTGGCTCTCCCAGGCTCCCCGCAGCCCCAGCAGCTTCTCCCGGGCCCGCGAGAGCTCTGCACTGGCTACCCTTCTTGGTCACAGACACACTGCAGCCCCTCTTTTCTACGGCCGGTGGGAGCAAGTGAGCGGGCCGGGATGACTGGGAGTATAGAGCAGCTCTCCTGCCCTCTCAGGAGACCAGCCCCACCCCTAGTAGCTAAGAGAAGCGGAGGAGGGGACCCACTCTATCACAAGCCCCAGGTTCGAGGGAGGGAGCTCTGTCGAGGTCTCAGGCGCACCCTGCTCTTCCCCACCCTGTCCCCCCTCCACCTCTAGCACAAGCACAGGAGCAGCTCCCAGGTCCTTCTTCCCGGCAGCGTGATGTGGGTGTAGTCCCAGGCGCCAGCGCAGAGGACCCCTTCATACTGGCCTGTAGACCTCAGGCCTCAAAAGCTCGTTGAACCTCTCAGTCCGGGTGGACCGGTGCTGAGCAGACAGACCAGCAGCCGGGTTCCTTGGAGCAGCCCAAAAGTTACAGGAGCGGAGAGAGAAGGGACAAACTCCAAGGGGTGGAGGGTGGGGAGAGGGAGGCGGCGGGCCCCCAGGCGCCTAGCTAGAATAATTCAAGAGA